GATCCGCGCATGAGCCGCTTTAAAGCACTCATGCGGCGGTTGCGGGGTCTTTTTTATGAGGTCAAATACCCAGCCTGGGCTGAGGATCGACCTTGTGAGCTGCAAACGGGACAGGAGATCCGGTTCAGCAGTAGAGACATCACTGCCCACTGCTGGGGTCGGAAGTGAGATGGCATTTGGGTTTTAGCCCAGTGTTCGGGTTGCAGCACGATTGAATATTGTGTCGCACTTCCAATCGATCACTTTTTTGCTTCTGCGATTTAGGGTGCGGTTTAGGGGTTTAGGGATGTTTANNAGGGTTTGGGGATGTCTAGGGTTTAGTGTTCTTGTGGTTTAATTATTTTGCATGATTTCGGGTCTCCTCGTCCTTTTTGTATCTTTTTCAAAATCCCTCCCGAGCGGTTGTGTCAAACCCCCATAAACCTTTAAACTTTAGCTCTTAACCCTTGCCCCTAAAACACTTGTTCCTACAAGTGTTTTATTTTTGCATGTGCACGTTTTATTTTATGAAAACTATTCAGGCTTCTGGACTGCCCGAGACTTAGGTCTCCAGATGTCGGAACCCCTACATTGCGCGCTTGCCGCCAGGGTTTGGCAAACCTCGTCCAGGCTTTTAGGTTATGGTTATACTTTTCGGTGCAGGTGCAATGGCTTGGATATTTGGGTGGTTGTTTGGTAGTTTGCCAACATTTACAGTTTCACGGGTCCTCCACCCACTCATGGCTGCAAGTCTATGTAAGTATATGTCATCTATGAAGATTCGAATTTGAGGGGTGAGCTGATGGGTATAATAGCAGCACTTCTAGGTAGATCTGCATAAATTCATGGATCGTGGTAGGTGGGGAGTGCAGCCTTAATGAGTGCGGTGATCGGGTGGCATCGTTACAGCCGACCTTGTCTCACAGCACCCGGAATTCGTGTTTAGGTGCACTGGCGTGGAGCGCGCATTGGAAAAGAGACCGGGTCGCTCTGAGAGTGCGCTTTTTTGCATTTTCGCAGCACCACTAAAACATTATC